TATATATATATTAACCATTTTACCAGTGGCCATTTCCACTACAAGTGCAAGGCTGCAAACTGATCCGAGGAGCTGATCAGGAAAATATCTCAATCCAACAATACACGTAGGCCTACATGTTTTTTCAAGTCATGTGTATTCGGGTGGAGATCCCATTAAACTCACACACGAACCTTTTACAGATGCAAATGTGCCACGAGTGTCAAACATTCACACCTGCGTCCTATCAGTTCACTTTGATCACCTCTGACGAAAGGCTGGCCCATTGGATATATAATGCCATTCGAAGGTAAGTCAAATCATTCCAAGCTGAACACCAGTAGGACTAGGTCACAATGGCAGTCGTGCATGGAAACCTTGGGAATGGACACTTAAAACAATTCCAGCTGTTTCCTACCGCGGATTTGGAAAGGAGGACTAACATACACACAACAGGTGGGTGTTTACGCAGGAATCTTTCTTGAAATGCATTTGGGAGTAATTAAGTAATCAAAATGTCTAACTTCAGTTATTTTACTCATTTTCTCATCAGATTACGCAACTCAAGACAGGATGAGGTTCCTCAATGGCGCCTCCAGAGCGGACAGCGCGAGCTTGTTTACGCACCGCAGAAAACGCACCAATTTCACGCAGCAGCAGATTGACGTCCTGGAGAAAGTCTACTTGGACACCAAATACCCTGATATTTATTTAAGAGAAAAACTTGAGGCACTGACCGGCTTGCCAGAGTCGAGAATTCAGGTGGGATTTCTGTCAGAAAAAGACCTGCTTAATATTAAAGATGACTACCGGGCTAGTTAATTTTTTTCCCCCTTAAGTAAATATTTCTCAGAGCAAGTTTGTTTCAAACGCTATTGACCAGGGAAATTGTTGTTTTTCAGAAGGGCATATTTCAAGAAGAAAAATACTTCTTGAAAAATGAAATGGGCTACTATCTAAAGTAGTAGGAAAAAAAGATCTTCCGTAACATATGTATGTAATGTTTTGATATGTATTCACGATCAGCTATATAAGGTCTTTCGTCGATGTAAAAAGTAGGCTACCTTTGTAATAGCATAACAGTACAGAAGCATTTAACACTCTGTATTACTCTGGCATACTGTATTACAACTTCCCCTAAATTGACATTTATGAAAAATGCTCATCTTGAAAAAACGGTGTTTTAGTAAAAGTGTGACTATAGCCCCAGTTTTCCCTACTGCTGGCATTGTCTGAATGTATGCCAGTGTGGTTTTGTTTATTAATGGCATCGGCTTTCTAAACCAGTCAATTTTCTATTCAGGTCTGGTTCCAGAACCGAAGAGCCAAGTCACGGCGCCAGGTGGGAATTCCTGTTCCAAATAAGACCAGTGTAAATGTTACGACTACCAACAGTCTCCTTATGAACCAGTTTACGATACATCAGAACCACACTGGCCTGGAGACACAAAGACTGCCAAAGTTTGCCACAAGGGACAACTTCAGTCAGCAGCTGATCAGCTCCTCAGATGAGAAGATCTGCACCATGGAAGGTGACATGTACAACCCAACCACGATTCCATGCATGTTCAGCAGAACAGAGGAGAACCAGATCAAGACAGATCACCTGAGTGTCGTGGTGCCACGCAATTACACACAGCAGTATCCAAAGGGACACGGACAGTTTATGAGCACCAGCCATGCTAAGTCTACAATGAAGCAGTTTTTGGTGGAGTATGATAACTTCCCTCCGAACAAGACCATTGGGCCAGAAATGAAGGTTGTTATTCCACCTCTCCCATCACAGAATAACTTCATGATGTCTTCTTCATCCCCCAAACATGTCACCTGTTCTATCCAAAACATGCCAGTAAAGGTCCACCTGGGAAGTTTTGAAACTTTCTCTCCCATTAGAGCACGCGAAGCCGCCGAGTTCTCAGATTCCGATTCAGATTGGGAAAGAGAAGCCATGTCTGGTTTTAATGGGTTTATTTAGCGTTTTCAATTGATCACTCAGACTTTATCTGAAGCTTTGAAGAACATTTAAGCTTTGAAAATCAGATATTTATTGTATATTTCAGATATTATTGTATGTTATGTGTGATTGACACAATATGGATGTAAAGAAAGACAGTCTGCATTCATAAAAGTTTTTATAAAACCTCAATACAGACTCTGAGCCTTTATGAAGATAATAGAAATCAATTTATTTACAAACGTCTGTCTCATGCATACACTTACAGGTTAAAAAAAACAACCCCACAGAAAATGAACGCATTTAAAACATACACCAGTGGGGCATTTGGGTGATTATTTCTTCTAAGGACAAGACAAACTGTTTCATTCCACACAGCTGTCTATTACAGGACTTGTATAAACAGATTGGTTGCTTTGCAAAAATACCTAAATCTGGCAAGTCAAAAAATGTCCACGTTACCCTATATATGATCGATTTATTGATATATTTTGAGTGAACTGTACAGTTATCTACAATGTACATATTTAAAACATACAGAACCGTTTAAAACAGACAGAACAGTACCTCATCTCTCAGGACATTCAAAGTTATACACTTTGAGAAATAGACAGAGGAAATAAAATTATACAAAATAGTTTCAGTCCAACAAACTGCACCAATCAGGAGTGTCATTCGAAATACACCCTAGTTGGAAACCACCAATAATAAAAATAAGGGGAAACTTAAATATCAAATTGAACGTAAGCAACAGCTGAAATGACATCAAACAGTTACATCTACAACACAGCTTCACACTCCACTTTTTTTGCTAGCTAGTTGAACATCTTCAGACACTTTGGTGTCGGGCAGAGAATTTTAACACTACTTGTGCAGGTACAGTTACTGAACATACATTCTGACCTTTCATAAATGTCAAACAGAATGAACACAAAAGAACAAAGTGATGAGCTGAAGAGGTGCGTCGCTGTCTGTATTTGAGACTGGGAGGTGTGCAAGTTTATTTCAGTCACGTTCTGTTGGTGTTGTTGGCAGAGAAAGCATGGAGGTTACCCAGCTGGCTCAGCCCGCTCTGTATGTGTGCTACATGGATCTCCACATTATCCTGAAAACAACTGTAGAAAACAGATCATTGTAGGTGATTAATTCCTTGAGTTTTTTTAAGATTGTATCAGCACTGTATGACTAGAACTTTCAAAACGGCAAAAATAAAAACAAACAATGTAAGATAAATGGAGCAAAAACAACAGAAATGAAAACAAAATATGTTTTACCTCAGGTTGGAGTCATCTATTGAACTCTTTATGTCATTCAGAGAGTCTGTGAGTGATTTGAATTCAAATGAATTCAAGTCTCCTCCTTCGGCCAAACACTGCATTAAATAGTTGAAGAAATATGATTAGGATTCAATGTGAAGTAAATTTTCATGTGACATTGTGGCACTTGAAAGAGCTGAATGAAAAACTTAGTTGAGCAACTGAGCTTTTAACTGATTAGTATTCATCATGCTTCATCATGGTAGTCTTGGCTCACAAGTTCCTGGTCTGTGCTCTATGTACATGCTTTTTAGTATGGAAGCTTATTTCAACCACAGAAAAAAAAAAGGTAATGGCAACGTATTTCACAATTTGGACATTTGTCTCAGAATTACAATAACAGTCAGAATTGTGAGATAAAAAGCCACAATTACCTTTTGTATGTTGTGGCAAAAGAAAAGTCAGAATTACGAGATGTAAACTCAGAATTCTGGGGAAGTGAAGGAAAAAATGTGAGATGAAAAGTCAGAATAAAACAAAAAAACAAAAAGGAAAAAATTGTGAGATGTAAATGCAGGGGGAAAAAGATGCATAAAAAGTCACAATTATGTTTTTGAATGTTTAATTCTGTGGTGGAAATAAACTACCACAGTGATAAGGCATGCTTCCTTCAGATAATGTAAAAATGTTCTGTTTTAAACAACATGCAGAGGTAAACAGTTTAGTCTGGTACCCTGATCTGCAGGAGGAGTGCCGTAAGACGAGAGACGAGTTGGGTGAGGCTGGGGCTCTGGACACGTTGCTCTCCATCAGGCAATGCATTACTCTGACGCACAACTTCCTGTGACTCTTCTTCACAGCGCCGTCGCAACTCACTGGGCTGATCTGCAGGCTGCATGCCCTGATCTGGAGCCAGCTAAACAGAGAAGATCGTGGAAAGTGAAAGGAAAATGTGTGAAGGTGAATTAAAATGCGTGTTTTATGTCCAGGATTTTGTGAAGAAAACCAGAACTGAAGGTCTGGAAAGCAAGTTTGGTCATGTGGTGGGGTGAGTAAAAGAAACATACGTACCTCATAGCAAAACTGCTTTACTTCATGAAGGACTTTGTTGAGGTCTTTATTAAGCTGTTCCAGGTCCAGTACTGTTGTGGCATATCTCTTCTGCAAGTCCAATCCGATCGGCATGGAATAGGACTTCTGCAGAGGAATAATGGAAGAAGTTACATGGCGTACTACTAAGTTAACGTGTACAAAAACAACACCATATCAGCTGTCATACACTTACCAGCTTCTCAGCTTCTGTGTTCATCTCCTTCAAATGCTTTATGTGTTCTTTTTTAATCATGAGGATTTTGGACAGGCGTGTCTAGCAGGAGAATAAAACAAAATATTGAAATTCTGTGGAAATTCAAGTAAATAGACAACATTAGTAGTGACAATTCTCACCACTTGCACAAGAAACTTGACAGGAAAGCCACCCAGTGTCTCTCCATCAGTTCCTGTCAGTTTACTTCTCCAGGGGGATTGACTGAACAGAGGGTCATTATCCTGGGAACAGAGCAATATGAGGCGAAGATCATTTTTCCAAAACAGTTTGGTGGAATTTAATTTTAAACATCTATTATTCATGTCAGTGGTTCTCAACTAGTTTTGCTTCAGGACCCAAATTTTACACTAAATATGAAGTGTGACCCACAGTACCAAAATTGTCATAAAAGCAAACAAAACAATATACTAAAATATATGAATATCCCAACACTATGCAAAATGATTAAAATGGCACAGACGTGTCTTTAAAAATTAAGTGTTTTGGTTTCTAAATGGTTGCATACTTTTGGCACCCAAATATTCACCAAAGGAAACACTTTGTGGCTGGAACAAACCACACGTTGTTGCATTTTATTATTTGTATTTAGCCTTGTTTTGTCTATGTTGCCTGCAACACTAGCAGAACAGATCTCAGAAACATTTCAGGATAATGAAACACCAGTTAACAACCCCATTAAAAAAAACACATTTGACAGTCTGATTTTACCATTAAGATGGACTGGGTTGAGCCGGGATAGGACCCGCGGGGTGGGGTCAGAAAGTTCTGGAAACGAGGTGGCCTCTGTTTCTGAGCGAAAGCAGATATGGGCATCGTCTCATGAGGTTCATTACTCTGGAGAGAAAGCAGTGGGGAGTGTTAGCCATTCAAATCAAATGACACTTTACTGTTTTAAAGAACGACTCAAATTATAATGGCCATTTGTGATTTTCTTACAAGCACTTCGTAGTCAGGAACAGTGTGTGTGCCGAGCCCATTTCTGTCAAAGGTCACACGATACGTTGCTGCACTGGTATCTACTGCATCAATCTGACCAGTAAACAGGCCATCATGGACACCCCTAAGACGAGCTACAGTTTAAAGACAAAAAAAAGAAAACAATAAAAAAATATATATATTATTTTCATTCAAAATATTTTATTTTGCAAAAAGGCATACCTTTGATTTCAACACAATGAGCAAAAGATATGATTATATAAGCAAAAAAAACAAAACGTAGAAACCTACAATATCTCTGGATCAAGTTCATTTTTTACTAAACTTACAATCTGAAGACATAAAAAGTCTAGGGCTGGGCAATTTGGTAAAAAATTTAAATCTTGATTTTTTTTTTCCAGAACGTTTTACCGATTCTCGTTGTTTTACGATTTTTAACTAGTCAACTTAAAAATGTAACTACAACATGATTCAAGTAACTTTTTCTTTATTAACCCTCTAGTTAAAGAAAATTCTATTCCAAGTGAACCACACATGTTGTTGTCAACATGATGTAAATGAAATCACTTCTGCATATCTCTGCAGAAAAGATGCATGAACTACAACTACATCTTGTACAAACTTGTCTTATACATGTTCAGAAATAATATGAGGAAAATGCTTTAAAAAAATCTCAAAAGTCAAGGTAATTCAAATTCAAAATGACTGAAGGTATAAAACCAGTAGACTTAACTATAAATGTTCTATAAAAACAATTGCAGCTTTCAGCCCGTCACCATGATGCAAACATGAAATATCAGGCATACAGTAGTAGTTACAGGTTTTTTTATTCGATTGCGCTGCTTTTCCTATGTAAACATGGACGTGTTTGACTGTTGCGCTCGCGTCTCTTGTAGCATCTCATGCATGAAACGGCATTCTAAAAACCCAGCGCTCAAGTTAAAGAAGTTCACTCCCATCTAGGGCTGCACGATTAATCGAATGCGATTGTCATGCGCATTTTGATAGTAATGCCGGTTCTGTAATCAGCAGAAAATTATCATCACGGGCTTTCAGATGGCACGCATGACAATCGCAGCTTCTATCGAATCACGATCTCGATTTCATTTCGATTTATCGTGCAGCCCTACTCCCATCATCTTGCATTTATTCCTATTCCACTGCCACGTCGCATCTTTATCAACATAAAAGCGCATTCTGTATGAATGGCGCCTAGCGATATATTTATGGTCCTTCACTGAGCGTGTCACACGTGAGCGGTTAATCACGTGCGCCGACATGCAGTTGGATCGTTCTTTTCTCTTTACTGTTATCATTGGCATATTGTCAAATATGTGCATAAGTGTCTAATTCTAACATTTGGTAATATTTATATTCAAAAATCACGATTCCTCGATTTCGAAAAAATAAAATCGTGGCAAAACATTAAATTCGAATTAATTGATCAAATGTGAAAAATCGCCCAGCCCTAAAGTCTATTTCAAAATGCTCCTTACACATCTGCTGATTGTGTCATATCAAACAGCTCCTCTATGTAAACATGGACGTGTTTGACTGTTGCGCTCGCGTCTCTTGTAGCATCTCATGCATGAAACGGCATTCTAAAAACCCAGCGCTCAAGTTAAAGAAGTTCACTCCCATCTAGGGCTGCACGATTAATCGAATGCGATTGTCATGCGCATTTTGATAGTAATGCCGGTTCTGTAATCAGCAGAAAATTATCATCACGGGCTTTCAGATGGCTATTAGACACGTTGAATCAATGAAAGCAGTTGAATCTTCTGTTTACTCAGCTGCAGCGATAGGCATTTTCTGGGTTTCTTCTGCGAGGCGTATTTGGAGTTTCAGCGCGAGAGCGCCCTCTGGCCTTCGGATGCAGATTTACTGCTGATCACAGAACCGTGCTTCACTGAAAGATACGCATGACAATCGCAGCTTCTGTCGAATCGCGATCTCGATTTCATTTCGATTTATCGTGCAGCCCTACTCCCATCATCTTGCATTTATTCCTATTCCACTGCCACGTCGCATCTTTATCAACATAAAAGCGCATTCTGTATGAATGGCGCCTAGCGATATATTTATGGTCCTTCACTGAGCGTGTCACACGTGAGCGGTTAATCACGTGCGCCGACATGCAGTTGGATCGTTCTTTTCTCTTTACTGTTATCATTGGCATATTGTCAAATATGTGCATAAGTGTCTAATTCTAACATTTGGTAATATTTATATTCAAAAATCACGATTCCTCGATTTCGAAAAAATAAAATCGTGGCAAAACATTAAATTCGAATTAATTGATCAAATGTGAAAAATCGCCCAGCCCTAAAGTCTATTTCAAAATGCTCCTTACACATCTGCTGATTGTGTCATATCAAACAGCTCCTCACCTGTAACTTTAGTGCCAATGACCAAGGGCAAAGGAATCTCATCTGGCAGGTCTTTGCATAGAGACATATCTGTGATTTTCCTCTGCTGCAGGAGACGCATCTTCTGCCTCTTCTGTTTCAGAGCCATTCGCTCTTCAGCAAAGAATGCTGAGGAACATCTGAAAAACATGAGACACATAAGTACAAGCATCTGAATCAAAGATATCAGCACTGCATGTTATGGGCATTTATTACTGTATAAGGTTGAAAGTGAGCAGCCAGTTAACCTTCGAGGTTTGCCCATAAGTCTTCTGATTGTTCCCCATTCAACTCTGGTCAACTTTCTGGTCTTTAGATTAGGAAAAGACTCCTTCAGACACAGGCAAAAGTCATTGTCTCCTTCAAATAAAGGCCTAAAAACATGAAAAAGATGACAATTGGAAAGGCAAAAACATAAAATATTAGTGTTCTAGCAATATGCCGATATAGTGCTGATAGATACACAATACAAGTTAGCAATCAGTCAAGCAGACTATTCAGGCCCATTTACTGGGTCTATTAATATTAATAACCTATTAATAACGGAAATGCAATATCATATTTATGGAAGGCAGACACTACTATCGCTTTCCAATACTCAAAATGATTAAAATAAGAATGTGAATATTAACAGCACAAAAACTGCACACAGTGACTGGAAATATAAGGTCTGCAGAACATACCTGTCAATATTTGAATAGAACCATTCATAGATGCACCATTTGTGCGCTTTGGGAAGTTTGAGCAAGTTTCTTAGTCTCAGTCCAATTTTCTGTGAAGCCCTTTTGTCTGGTGTTGTGACATTTGCAAGTTTCTGAAAAGGAAAACATTCAAATTTTGCTGGTCATTAAAAATGCTAAAATCACTGATCTTTATGTCAATAGGTTAATGCATCCTTAAAAGCATATCCTGGACACTGCTCTCACCTGAGGCACAGTGGTGACCCTCTGGCTTCTCCTGGGAGATCTGGAGGCAAGTGGCCGCTCCTCATCCTCACAGGACAGTCGACTCCTCTTTGAGCTCCTTGTTGGCTGAAGGACAAAGCAGACAGGAGATATTTAGGAACAGTAAACATTAAAAGGCAAAAGTGCTACCATGGACCTTGGTCAGGTAAGCACCCTACTGAATTAAAGGCAGATGAAAACAAGGCTGTGCGAAATCGACTTACAGTCTCCACACACTGTACAAAGGTCCTAGATCACATAATGTTTCACAACTCATAACTTTCAAAACTGTTTTATTGAATTTTAGTCTACTAAAAGTCCAATCTGCTGAACATTCTTTTCATTCCCGTCAAAAATTAAATATGGCACTACCTTGACTAAGGTCTATCGTAAGCAAACCTGGAATTGTAGCAAATAGTACAACAACAACGAGTATGAAGTAGGGTTGGGCGATGTCTACCAAATTGGCATCAGACAATGTCTACAGTGAAACATCGTGATGAACGATGAGATCGGGGGGCGGGGTTAGGGGGTGTGCCCGAAGCGTGAATCCGTATGCAGAAAGGCACGGAAAACAAATAACGTGTTCTACGGAGCCACTAAAGGGACATGGTTAGCCGCTTGCTAGCGGTAGGCTGTACATGAAAGTTCACTTACCACATACACGGAGTAAGGACAGATGACTCATAGGACAATGGCGAATGATTTGCAGATACTGAGCACCACTGACAAATATATAATCTTGTAAAATGTGTGGTAGGTACTGCCGCTCCGTAGTAGAGTCCGTGTGATCACGAATCTCGAAAGTGAAAGTAAAATGAGAGCGCGCATTCAAAAACGGTTTCAATGCCCTGCATATCAGTAGCGGCTCCCTGATGCCCACAATTACCCAATGATATAATTGTGAGAGCAAGTATTGAAATATTTTTTTTTTTTATCCTCCCATCTCGTAGGCTATCTATTCCCTTTAGGGGTTCCGTAGTACACTTAATTTCCTTTCCGAACACAGAATTGGGATGCGGCGGAATGCGGG